CCCGCCCCGAAACCGATAGGTAGGAATTTGCTTAATCCAAGCTTGTCCTTTTTCACTTTTCAGACAGCAATATTAATGATAGATCATCAGTAATTCAGAAATTGTATTTAATTCCACAATGCAAACCCAGAAATCTTTCATCTCTCGGTTTTGTTGTGAAATAGGAAAATTGATTTGTTCTGAAGTTCTCTAGGTGCCTTTTGACCTGTTGTCTTTCAGGCAAACATTCAGTTGTGATGATAGTAATATGTATTTTAGACTGCAATAGTGATTTGCACACATACTTTCACTGCTTTGAATTTAAATTGAAAGCACAATACAACCCATAATAAAGTCAGTACATGCCGCTTTCCTGTCTTAAAGCAATAGCTTATAAACCAGAATTAAAAAGTAACAATTTCAGGCAGACATAAGTCTCTTTCTTTTTCTGTCCTGGGATACATCACTCTTCAGAAAACACACAGTAGCTCATTAACACAATACTAATTCTAAGTCTGGTTTGGTTTTTTTTTTTGTTTGTTTGTTTTTTTAATAGCAAGTTATAACTATAAGCACTTACTGTTATGGCCTGGAATCTTTCTTTCAGCAATTCGGCTTCCTCCATTCTAGAAATCAAAAACAGACAAGTAGTGAAGGAAAATAGAATGAGACCATAAGCGAAAAACCTCCTGGTGGGGCTACAAAAAAGGTGAGGTGATTTGATCCAATTCCAGAGCAGAGAGAAGGCAGAATTTTTGACTTGTCAGGAGCGTCCCTGAACAGATGAGCAGATCAGTCCAGACAGACACATGTAATGAGGGTGTGTAGAAGAGGCAGACGTGGAGAATGCTGGCATGAGTTGACTGACAAGTTGGAACAGTGGAGCACAAGCCCTTTTCCTTCAGAAGCTGCCAACTCTTTGTTTTAATGCGCTTGGTTAGCGTGCCATTGCTTCTTTAACTGTTAAATGCCCAAAACTGAATCTTCCAGGACCATGGTAGAAGTAAACTTTTATTATGTTCCTATTTCTCTTTCTTGCCTTCTTCTTTCTTGTGCACACTTCTGGTGATAAACAGTTATTTTAAACTTACTAAATATCCTGTTTCTTATGAAACTTATTTCACCTGTGTGTTTTAACCTATTGTAATGTTAGAACTGTAGATGGCACAGGTTTTTTTGAGATGGCAGTTTTAATTCAGTTTCTTACATGAAATTTTTAGATAAGCTGTATTCATAGCAGGAAGAATGTTTTAGAATGGCTAACCTAAACTAAAATAAACTTTAAGCAATCAGGTCTGTCACTGAATGCAAGTGTTAATCTGTGCAATTACTGGTCAGCCATCTAGGACTCAGGGGAAGCTTTGTCTAAGTAAGGATTTCAGGATCATCATTTCAGTGTTACCAAGATGAATCTAAAATGCCAGTGACTCTCATGCTGGATTTCCATTCAGCTGACTTGAAGGTTTTTTTTGCTGTGGACTTCTGAAAACAGCATTTATGCTCCTTAAGGGATGGTGTACATTTTGACCTTTCCAATTACATGAGTGGGAGTCAGCCTTCCAAAATCAATCTAGGAAACTTGCAAAACAAGTGGAACTGCCTCCAGTGAAATCCAGTTGTGGAAAAAATTCTAAGCAAGGTAAAGCTGAATTCAAACAGCACGAAACTGTAACATGAATCTGGAATCCCTTTGTTACCCTCAGTATCATGTAATTTAAGTCTTTGTAAGGACATCAACAGGACAGTCAGCCACATTGTTTGGTTTTTTCCCTGCTAATTCACCGAGATGACTAAACTCAACAGGATTTGGTGAGGGGTTTTACTTTACATGTCAGTACAGTGACCTGAATCTTGGTGTCAAATCAGGCTCATTACTAGCAAATGCTAAGATGTTACAGAATTGAACACTTGAAGGTGAAGTTACATCCTCATAATTCAATATGAATCAATATTTAATTTCAATTTTTACCTTTCTAGTATGTCATCACTCATTCATATACACAAGCAGACTATCCTGCTCCACACTGGGATTAAGGATGCATTAATGTTTTGTTTATACTGTGATCCACCCTGAGGTTTTGTTCAAACTTGCAAAGACCCTGTGTTTTATTCTCCAGTGAAGATTTTTTTTTTTTATATATTAATATATGCCCCATTTGGTCAGCACCTGAAGTTAAAAAAATTACCACATAAAAGCAAATGCGAAATTCAAAGGCAAGTGTACTGGGGTATATCAAGAGACAGATTACATGGGAATTTAAATGCATTCATTTTACGGATTAGAGAATAAGTTCAACCACTCCACGGAATTAAATATATTCTTGCTGCAGAAGCCAAAGAGAGACAGCCTTTCTGTTTAATCTTTCATAAGTTAGTGTAGCCTGCTTTATTATATTTTGAAAAAAAATCCAAACATTTCACCTTTGTCTTCTGCAAAGTTAATCTTAAAATTTAAGTGTGCATGTGGACTTCAAAATGTTTAAAGGTATTTAAAACAGCAAATGATTGCATCAGAAATAAGGAAGTCTGTTTTGGACCGGAATCTGTACTCTGATATAAATGAGATTCCGTGTTCAATGGATGGAGAAATGAGATCAGTATTTCAAGTTCAAATTAGAATCAATGGGATTGGGTTTCTTTGAATTTGTGTGATCTAAAATATTTTTGTAACTTATGCTCCAAAATTATTTAAACACTTTAAAAAACCTTAATTGTGGATGTTACATATTTACAGACCAGAAAAGTATTTAACATGACTAAACCCCCAGTAAACTGAAGTAACCTGAAGATGGTTTCTAAAATGTTGGTTCCCTGTATTATTATTATGACCATTATTAAGAAAGTATTTAAAGCCCACTTTAAACATTTTAAATTGTTTAAATCATATATATCTCCTTGCTAGGCAGGATTTGTTGTTCAGTCAGTAGGTTGTTTTCCAGTTATCTTAATCCTATTCTAAATGGGATTTATGTGCAAGAGAAGGAATGGACCACCTGTCATTTTGTCTGCCCCTTAAGTCTGCTTCAGCAATAGGAATATCCACAGTGTTATAGGTTAGATCAGTTAATCTGAACAGCTGTGTTTTCAGTTCACAGGATTCTTGGAACAAGGTTTTCCAGAACTATATCTAGAGGAAACTATCTACCTATTCTGCAAGTTTAAGCCAAAAAAACCCCAACACCAAAACCCAAAACAATCTTTTGGAAGAATAATTTATTAGCCTGAGTTTCTGTAACTGGCCACTGTATATTTTTCTTTTGGTAGAACAGATTCTCTGGGTTATGCAGAAAATATTTTTTTTTATCACTTGATGAGTCATACAGGTTGGATTTTTTTGGCTTCACTTCTTCCTTTGTTCATTTCCATTTTGTACTGGGTAGCTAATATAAGAGTAATAATGAGAATCTAAAACAGAAGGTGGAAGAGTTGCATTATGAAGTCTTTCAGAAAAGTGGGTGGGAATTCAGAAGAGTGCGATATCCTGAACCAAAATCTAGAAGTAGGACCGCAGAAACATTTTCACCACTGGAAATGCAAGTTCTGTTGTCCATTTCTGGAGCAAAGCTTGAGTACTGGCATAAAGAAATCCTGTCGCTTCAGAACTGTAGCAGCTGTCCCTGGCCATACTCTACAAACGAAACCATCGTCAGTTCTACTCTTACTGGTTGTACTGGGATTTCTTTTGAAACAAATCATTAACCTAAGGTAACACATACACAGTGAGTTACAGATTATTGTAGTAGCAAACAATTGCTTCTAAGAAGCAGCATCTCATTAAAGGTAAGGAGCAAGAAGCTTTCGCTTTTTGAAAGTGAGTTTGAAGTGAATGGAGTTGATCAGACTCTTATCAGTTAAAAACAGCCTATACTTTCTGGAAAGAATGGTTACTGGGTTCATGAATCATCATTTTGTGCATCTTCACTAGTCTGATTATTTTTCTTTGTGATGAGCTGCCTTCTGTAGCTCTGTTTGAAACAGGAAAAGGGCGTTTTGGGCTTGGTATCAAAGTGAATTTTATATTCTTACAGTGAGCAAATGTACTGTCACTATGCATCTGTCTGCTTGTAGCCTTGAATCTGTGACAGCAGAGGAATGGAGAGGGGATAAATCTTATTGAAGGTCCCTCATTGAAGAAGTCTACTGCCGCGTTCTGTCAATTGACCCAGAGGTCTGATGTCTGGGATGCCTCAGCTGATCGAGAAATGGCCTCTTCTCCAGCTAGAACCAAGATTTTGCATTTTAAAGGTGAAAAATAAATGAACAAGAAATAGAAATTTGAAAATCTAAAAACTTTTGTTTATTGCAGATGAAATGCATACAAATAGACAATTAAAGCCTTTGGGCAGTTCCTGCCAAAACTTTATTTTTTAAAAAGACTTTCTCTTTAGCTGTATGTTATCTACCAAAAGAAACAAGGTTTGTTTATCTCACTCAAAGGTTGCTTTTGAAGGCCGTTTCCACCATTAGTCTGCAAAGTACTTCCAGATGTTTCAGTCAACAGTGCATTAATATTGCACAATAAGCAGCAGTTTTTGCCTAGGATACATCCAGCTAAAGAACTCTTCTGGGGTTCATTGCTGTTTATTTGTTAGTTTGTTTTTCTAAAAAGCTTAAGACAGTACACTTCTCAGTAAAACTTAGCCCTTGGTAAATAAAAAGCTTGAAGTCCATGGAAAGAAAACTAGTCAGAAGCAGCACTTATGGCATTACATTTGGTTTACTTTAACCTGACTTCTTTCATATTATAAATAAGATATTTTCATGTATCCCTTAAGTCAATTCCAAACTAAACTGGAAGGTGTTACATTAAAAATGTGTGCTAATAACAGGGAAAAAAGCTTTAAAGTGAGGATAACCTAGAGAGACGAAGTTAAAAACCACACCCAGAATATAATTTTATATACATTAATATGTGTATATATGCAAATATATATTTTTTATATATATAAAATAATTGTTAGTAATTAGTAAAGATATTAGGTATCTTCATGGGTTCTTGTACATGTTTAAATTTTGTATATAGGGGTATGTATAACTGCCAGACTAGTCATGTGTAGCACATCTATGGGAGACTTTCTCATTGCTTGTTTTCCTTCTGTGGCTCATACATCTATGGCTTTCTAACCTCTCAATTTCTGTTGGTCACTAAATCTTTAATCTAATGACCTTTTTAGTATGTGGGATTGCCTGACTGTTATCAGGTGAATAAAATTTAAGATGCTTTCTTTTATACTTTAGTCCAGATTATATTAGCCAGTATGCTTAAAGCTATGTGATAAATCAGGGGAGTAAAAAATAGGAAAAAAAGCCTCATGTCTCTCCATGAAATGATACAATATTAGAAATTATTAAAAAAGTGTATTTTTTAGGATCTTAAAGGAAGTTAATTTAAAAAAATCTGCCAGCTCTCACAGGGGATTAAAATTTTGCCTTGAAGGCCAATTTTGGAGAAGTAATTACCTACTAGGCAGGTCTTTTAACATAATGAATTTCTTGGGTCCTCTCACTGAAGCAAAACAATGTCTGAGTATCTCAGTTTTATACAGTTTTATGAAGCTAAATTCTACCTTCTTTACTTGTTTGAGTAGACACACACCCTGAACCTCTGGGAGGAAAAGCCTTGAACTATTATGTTTCTGTTGGTACAACTCCCTTCCTGTTGCTATTCATAACTATGAATATATTAAGTCTTTAAAATCAAACTAAAGAAACAGCTGTTGGTCATTGCTTTCAGTTGTTTTTAGAATATTGAATATTTTAATTATATTTTATAATAAATCTGTTTGTTAGATATCGTTCAATATTATAGATCAGTTTTAGAATGCAGTACAGGCTCTGCTGTCTCTTCCATGGTAGGTGTGCATATTGTTTGCACA